CTCCTCCTCTTGTTGCTCAGCTGATCTTTTGGCTCTAGGGATAAGTGAAAGTCTCCTAAACACAGCTGGAGTTTTGTTAGTGATGTGGGCTTTATCTATGAGTGGACTAATGGATCCATGTCTTACTTGATATTGTACTCCCCATCCAACCAGAAAGGTGCCAAGTGTAATGAGCACAATCAACAATGCTATTCTGACTCTTATCCCTAGGGACCCCACAATAGCTTTGGCTTTGTTCTTGACATCATCTCTCTTTTCTCCCTTGGTGTCAGTTACAGAATTTAAATAATGAGTACTATAATAACGTATACAAAAATTGGACTCTTTTTCAGGTGTAAAACAAAAATAGGTTTTCACTTTAGTGTACAATCTATACAAATCTATAGACAATTCGTCTTTTGAGCTGTTTCTATCTTTATCTTATTTCTATTTATTGTTTTGTTCCAGCTCTGCCAAATCAGTCCTAACTCCCAATAATGTTCTGGAAGTTGCCAGTGAAGGGTGACAATGTGTGAGGTGGTGTCAATTTGCTCCTTTTTCTTTACCTTTAAACCGGAGCGCGTGTGAAGTTCGTTACAACTTCTCACTGTTCCGTCCACCGGGGATCAGCTCACTGTCTTATGTGAACTTTCACCCTCACCCAATCACCTGGCCAAACAGGAGTCTCTTCTGGTGTCTCGTCTGGTATCTCTGTAGCTTTCTTAGCCTGTGTAGACAAAACTTGGATAATATTACTCAGCGTTCTGACATATTCATTACTTTTATTCGTCTAATATCTAAAACTGGACCACTCCCTCCTTGGAGGAGGCCCAAGCGTCGGCATACCTTTTGTCGTTATGAGACCTATTATATACTACATGTTATTATTTATTAACTACAACGTCACTGAAATCAACATATCTGTATAATCATGACACTCCCTCCTTTGAGCAGAACATGCTCAATTAATATTGCAATGATTACCCTATTCTGAACAGGACATGTAAAACCCATAACGTTGCATTAAATAAATATAACTTCTCTGTGTACCCATAAGGCGTACAAAATATCGTATGATGTATGGCTTTCTGATGGTATAAAAACATATTCACTCAAATCTGCCATTAACACAAAAAATGGTTTACTTGTTGCAATAATGGCTTTTGTCCTGGTATTATGCATCATTGTTGCTGCGAAAAACAATACCCCTGGTGTCGCTAATGCGTCTCAATAATTCTAGGATTAGAGGATTGTTTGATACTGCTGTACAAAGATATAATAAAATAATATATATCTAAACTAGAGGGAAACATACGAACCATTCTCACAGAGGGTGACATGCATGAAGGGCTGGCGGCACTCACTCAAAATGAGATAGTGCCTTACGCACTACACTATAAATCAGTAAAATTACTCAAGAATAAATAAATAAAAACTGATTCTTGAAACTTTTGTTAAAACCCTACAACTTCTTCATCCAAGCTCTCAATCAGTGTTAGGTTATTTAATCTGCAGCTCATTGCCTTAAAACAGATACTTCAGACCGATTATAAAATGGTGTTTATGAGAAAAATGTAATCTGACTCCATAAATCACATAATTGTTCGACTAAAAAACTACACTTCCACTAACAATAAATGAAGTTCCCCTTTAAACACAGCCCCGGTCTTCTGACGGGGTCTATCTATGTACTGGCTGGAAAATGTTGTGCCAGTCTCTGTCGCTCTGTCACTGTTCTCCCGCTAACAGTCACTCTCTAGTTCTGCTGGGTTCTTGTTGACTTCTTCACTGGTTTGAGACAAGCGACCCTATCGGACACCTCCCTTTGTAGCCAGACTTCACCACAGCAGAAGTGAGTTTCTGTTTTTAGGTCTCAACAGCTCCACGTCAGGTGTATCGCCGCCCCTTGAACTGCAGTCGGTGTAAACAGGAGGATTTGGTATGGATCCTCCGTCTTGGGCGAGTACTAGGTTTCCGTCTTCATGTTTTTGGGTGGAAACCCGTCGTCTTGACCTCACTAGCTGTGTGGACACAATAGTTTTCTGTGTGGGGGAACAACATCACTCGTAATCTCTTTCCTTCTCATAATTATAAAAATAGTCTGCTAAATGTTCTATTCTGTGGATGCTTTATGTGTAAATGCAAATGCTACTCTCGATTTTGTTTTTACATTAAACATTAAACCTCTCCCTTCTGTGGTGACAGATATGGCTCAATGTAGCTGGATTTCAAAATACCCTTGTGCTGAAGATGCATCACCTGGTGGTCTGGCCCTCTGAGCTTCCTCATTGTTGTGGTTGATACCAGGGTGTCAGTGGCATTTGGGTCATGTTTGACAATGCTGTTCGTCTTTGACATCCCTGAGACCCCCTGCCTCCGTTGTCATCATGGAAACCTCCTGGTTGTTGGTTCTGCTATCTGAGATTTAACAGTTTGAGGTGTCTGCCCTGCATTCTCTGGTAGTTTCCCCTCCCTTCTCCTTGTCTTGTTCCTACAAGCTACGGTGTCTTGTTTTTTCTGCTATGTCTTCCCTCACTGGCAGGTCTGCTACTCGGACCACATTTATGCTGTGTGCCAATAGGCTGGCATATTCCAGATGGAGTATCAGACTTGTAACTCTTATAAATCTTTCTTCATATTCACTCCATATAGTTCTTTTAATTGGAAAGGTTAAAGCATCTGATCAGATTATTACCCTTTCCTTGATATCTGCAGTTGAGCCTGGCTCTGCGTCTAGTCCCAGTTTAGTTTGTTTTGGTGACATGCTCTCTTCCTATTCGAATGAATATTATTAAGTTATCAAAGATTAAGCACCAATCTTCTGACTAGCACCGTCGTTCCTGATCAGTAATATCCTATGTCATCCGAACCTAACTTTAAATCTGGGCTTTTTAAGTTTTTTTTTTTTTTTTAATAGATTTTTTAATTTTATTTTATTTATGTGCAACATCATATCATATCGCTGCTAAATTCACCTCTATAGGAAATGGTATATTAGCCTCATGCTAAATGCTAACCGGAGGTGAAGGATTTTCAGAATAAAAGTCTAACTGGTTGTGCACAAGAACTTCTGGTTTTTCAGTATAAAACAGCATTTAAACTAAAGGTACATTTAAGGTACATTATGCCATCAAAACATTGATTTTAATTTCTAACAATCTGCAGTACTCATCCACTAAAAAACATCAGTTTATCCTAGTTAATTATACGACATTAATTGGTTTAAATTGTGTACAATGCTTTTGTGTTTTTCCCATAGGGTTTTCTCTTTCGATTCTGAGAGACACATTTCTTTTTTCAGAGGTTTTGATAGGCTAAAATCACGCCGCAATGCACGTCGGGATATGGTGTTTATGTGATATGAAATCGGAAAACATTTAAAAAAATAATAATAATACTTTATTCCGAGTGTTCTTGCTTTTCTCTTTGAAAGTCATCACATAACGGCATTGTAATACACGGTTCGGCTGCATTAAATATTACATATCTGCCGTAGATATGTATTTATAGAGCCCTGATCAGAAGACCTTTTGACAAACTGGAAGAGATGCCGCCAAAACTGAATACGTGACGTGGACCATAAAATATCAACAATTAAACAACATCTTCCATTTATTTTCACACAATAGGGGAGAGTGGGGTAAGTAGTGCCAATTTGTACTTAAAGTGCCTTTAAAGCAAGGGGATTACAGTAATGCATCCAACTAAAATATGTACATATAGTTTAGGATGTTTTGCATCCCTGGGAACAATCACTTCGGATCTTAAATAAACTGTTTGAGAAATATAGCTTTAGAAAAAAAAGTGGTTTTGTGGCACAACTTGCCCCCGGTGCGGGGTAAGTTGTGCCATTAGAGGCAATACACTGGGGTAAATTGTGCCATTGATAATTGAAGTAAAACAGATCATTTTAATCTCACAAACAATAATGCTATATAAAAGCAAGACAAATTCAATACAACATTATTTATTTAAAGTTTTAACAACATCAAAGGCCACTTTTCTATAACAAGGCCTATGAACACCTAACATCCTACTTGTCCAATGCTGCAGGGAAATATGAACTTCTGTTCCCTTCTGGCTGTACCACCAAGTTTTGTGGTGTGGCCAATTTGCTTAAACAGGACCTAGCGCCACATGAACACATACTCAGAACAAAATTCCAAAATGAGCACCTAATCATCTGCAAATCATCTGCATCTGAATCTCTTCACAGATTCGGCCTACTGAACATCCCACTTGTCAATGCTGCAGGGGAATGTGAACTTATACTCCCTTCTGGCTGTACCACCAAGTTTTTGTGGTGTGGGTAGTTTCTTGAGCACATCACCTCTAGGGATGACTCCTTCATCATTCTCTCTAAATGTGAAGATGGGCTTTCCATCAACAGACCTCTTATAACTTTGCTTCAGAAACTTTGCACTGATCTCGTCACCTTCAACATTCTCCACCAATCCAACATAGTTATAGGATTTGGATTTTTTACCTGCAAACTTCACAATGACAAAGTCACCAGCAGACAGATCCTTGTCACCATCATCATCATCATCACTCTGGACATCTGAACTCTCATAATGAGTGGCATCGCTAAGTGGAATCGGAAAGTCACTCTCTTCTGAGCTACTGGAGAGCACTTTCTTTTTGGGCTTGGTTGGTTTTGACCCTTTCAGAGCCCCCTTCTTATTTCCACTCCTTTTCTTCTTTTCAGCCCGTTCCTTTTCTCTGCTGTGTGTCTTCTCCAGGCCATCTTCTGCCTCATCATTGGTGGTGGAGCTTTCTTCTGAGCTACTGTAGACAGCTGTTTTCTTCTTGGTTTTGGTTTGATTTGCAGCTTTCAGAGCCCTTTTCTTCTCTCTTTCATTCTTTTTTCTTTTCCTGTTCAGCCTTTTATCTTCTTTTTCTTTGTGAGCCTTCTCCAACTCCATCTTCTCAGGTGTGTCGGTCACGATTCTTGTTTTCACTTTCTTTCTTACACTTTTTTTTTTTCTTTCTGTGGCTTTTGGTAAGGGAAGAATTACTTCTGGAGACACTTAACCCAAGTGAGCAGAAGAACCAGATTTGTCACTTGATAAGTGCTCGGGAGTGGCAGGTGGCTCTCCTGGGTCTGGATCTGCTTCAAGGAAAGGAAAGGAAAGAAACTTTATTGTCATTGAACACAGGGAACAACAAGATTACGTGGTCAGGTGGAGGGTAAGCCTGAGCCATGCCACTATGCGCACCGCCACTAGTGGCCTACCAGACTTTTTTTTTAAATACCTGTGACATGTGTTGGCTCATGAGATGGTCCAGGCAGGTGAGCAGCTCCACTGGTGGAGGGCTCTTCTCCAGGCAGGTCAGCAGTGGTACTGGGTTCATCTTCTGGATTTGCCCTGTCTGTCACCATTGATGGTGCATAGTCTTCTTCCGGGAAGATGTCCCTGTTGAAAGGGTATATGCCTGTTGCTCTGAAACCTGAGGTTATGTTTGTTGGTGACATTGCAGAGAGGAACGCTTGCTTCACAAGTTCCGAGACCTCATAGATCGATACGGTTCGCCCAGGATGTGATCGCATCCACCCATCCATCGCTCGGTTATAGTAGGTTTTGAGTGGTCCATAGACAGTTTTGTCTAATGGTTGCAAGCGGTGTGAGGTGTGAGGTGGCAGGGTGAGCATAATGACCCCATTCTCTTTAGCAATTGTCACTGACTTGAGTGAGATGTGAGACTCATGGTTGTCCAGAATGAGCAGGACTGGGTGATCGGTGGAGCAGTTGGTGTGGCGGATGAAGTGCTTCAGGAAGATGAGGAAGGCGTCTTCATTCATCTTGTCGGCTTGTCGGCTTGTCATTCATGAGCTTGAGGGCTAATCACGGGGTTTGTAAAGCAAGGCGGATGTTGTAGTCCCAAACGATAGCTGGGGATTCTGGGTAGTGTAGTGTCTTCGGAAACTCTGTAGTGTCTAAACTCCGAAAAAACTATTTGTTTTTCCGAATCGAAGGTTAAAAACACAAAAGCATTGTACACAATTTAAACCAATCAATATTGTGTAAATAACAAGGATAAACTGATGTTTTTAAGTGGATGAGTAATGGAGATATCACTGTGTAATCATTTGACAGTGTGGGGAATACTTCCGGTTTTATTATGAAAACTTCGAGACCGGAAATACTGTTTTCACCCACGCTAACTTTACATGGAAGCTGCCCCATATATAGTACACGTTCTCCTGGCGAGACCTCAAATTATCTTCGTATATCTATCAAACTGTAGATCCTACACATCCACTGGACGTAGATTATAAAAGTACAATATACACTTCTCGCTAGAAATCTAATAAAAAAGCATTTTAATGGCCAAACTATTCCACAATTTAGGATTTTCCAGAGGGTAATTTGTGAATAAACGACCCTCCGGAGCGTTTGCAATCGACAGGAGCATGTTGTTTCTTACACGACCACTAGAGGTGCTACACTTTAAAACGTGACTCTGGGTCGTATTTAGCTGCTGAACAATCGACCTATATGGTCGTTTTTTGTAGGAGGACAGGCTGTAAAAACCATGTACAACTGTACTATACCAAGTAGTTAGCATCACGGTTAAAACGTACCTAATCAAATCAGCACTGATTTGCCTCAACGCCGTTTCCTCTTCAGATTGTGGTAACTACGGTTGGTAAAGTCATATAGCTCCAGTTATCCAGCGACATTCACCACAGAAGACCCATTGCTCATTATATTGTTAAATAGGAAAAAATGCAGGCAAAGTTTAAAGTTTTTCAGCTCTTTGTTAATGTTGTTTTAACTTTGGCTGTCAGGGCACTCCTTCAAAAAACGTGAGGAGCCCAGTAACAGCAGGAGAAATGTGCAAAGAGCTTCACACAAAGCATGCAGTCTGCTTAAACACACTCAGTCTGATCCAGGCCTTAGTGTTTCACTTTAAAAGACCCTGGTTAATCCCCAAATATTCTGGATCCTACACTCCTATTATGTAACTCAATTGCAACTTTCTAACCTCAAATCGGTGATACAATCTATCTGTTTACGAGGGGTAATCTGACACATGGGTAATCTGACACATGTGTCCAATTGTTGCTTTGCGCCTTTAAATGCAGCAAGGTTCAAATAGTAATGTATTAATATTTGATCTACAGAAAGAACATAGTCTAATTCAGTTTGTCTTCTTTCCTTATCATATTCTCCTCCAACTACAAAGTTAACTATACATAGGTGCAGGAATCCTTGAAGCCAAAAATGAGTTAGCAGGTAAGTATATCCCTCCTGTTAAGCCCTGAGCCTGTTTTTCAGGTCTCAGGCTCGAAACATGACATTCCCAGAACAAATGACTATAACTTAACTTCTAAAAGGGTTACATTAATAATCTTTTTTCTCAAAGCAATGATAAATGCAAAATAAGTGAAATTTGACCTTTTTAGAGAGATTTAGAAGGAACAAAAACCCACCTCTGGGGTCATTTGGGTGAATTTGGGTGGATTTGCCGTTTCTCTGGAATCCATTGGTCGATTTTGGTAATTTGGTCTTTTGAACCGTTAGAGCCAATAGAATCGAAGGGGAAGTTCCACATACACACACACACGTTACCATTGAGCTATGTTACGCTCTGAAAACTGAAACCTGAAACCTAGGCTCAAACTAGTAAATATGAAGATGGATTATCAGTAATCATTTCAAAGTGACACAGACACATTGGATTAACCATTGAATTAACCTTCAGCAGCGTTTTATTGTTTTGATGCCATTGAACACAACTTTTGATCAGAAACAGCAAAAGGTAAGACAAATTGGTACCACTTTACAATAAGACTACCCTTACGTTTTTTAAATTCCTTCTCTAGACCCTTCTCAAGTCCCTTCTCTAATCCCCTCTCTAGCCCTTCTTTAGTCCCTTCTCTAGTCCCTTCTCAAGTCCCATCTCAAGTCTCCTCTCAATTCCCCTCTCTAGTCCCTTCTCAAGTCCCTACTCAAGTCCCTTCGCTAGTCCCTACTCCTGCTCTAGTCCCCTCTCAAGTCCCTTTCCAAGTCCCTTCTCAAGTCCCCTCTCGAGTCCCCTCTCGAGTCCCCTCTCGAGTACCCTCTCAAGTCCCCTCTCAATTCCCTTTTCAAATCCCTTCTCATGTACCTTCTCTAGTCCCTTCTCTAGTCCCTACTCAAGTCCCAACTCCATGCTTTGTTCCGTTGGGGGTTCTGCTGGGGGTTCTGCCAACACCATGTCCTGTCCCGTTGGGGGTCCCGCCGACTGCTGTCCTGCCGGGGGTCCTGCCAACCCCATGTCCTGTTCTGTTGGGGGTCCAGCCAACACCTGTTCCGTCGGGGGTCCTGCCAACTCCATGTCCTATTTCGTTGGGGGTTCCGCTGAGGGTCCTGCCAACTCTGTGTCCTGTCCTGTTGGGGGTCCCGTCCTGCCAACTCTGTGTCCTGTCCTGTTGGAGGTCCCGCCGACACCTGTTCCACTGGGGGTCCTGCGAGCTCTTGCTCTCGATTCCAGTGCTCCGGCGATCCAGCTGACACTGGAGGGGTCCCATTGCGGCGTACGTTGTCCTCCGGAGCTGTCCCGCCGCTGCCTTCTTGCCCGACCTTGTGCCCGGCCCCCTGACTCTCCCAGCCGCTGCCTTTGCTCTCATGCCCGGCCCCCTGAGTTCGCCTGCTGTGGCCTTCACCCCTTCTTGAACTCTGCCTTGCCCCCGGGCCGTCCGCCCGAGACCCATTCCTGGTCCTCTGCCGTGCCCCCAGGCTGTCAGCCCAAACCTGTCCTCCAGACCCCCTCCACCCACCCTTTTGGCCCTAGTTATTTTAATAAAGCTCGCTTTTTGTTACCAAACCTTTTTGTATTTTTAACTGCACGTGGGTCCTATTTTCCCCAACCTGACAGATCGGAGTTAAAGACAAAAGGTGGAGACTAGTGTTGAAACTAGAGGAGAAACAATCAAGATGCCACCTTGTCCCTCTGATTAGACGGCATGTTAAGTCAGGAAGTAGCATTATTAGTGATGAGTGGAGGGCTTACAGGAGAGTGCTGAGTAACATGGGGCGCAACCACTACACCATAAACGACAGCAGGTAGTTTGTGAACCCCCAGACAGCAGTCATATCCAAAATGCTGTATAGAAATAGCTTGGTCGACGGTCAAAGGACATGTCCGTAGACTGAGAGGAAACCGTACAGAGAGTGTGCTGGAGGAACACCTCAAGGTTCTTGAATGGTCATCTTGGCTCTGCTCACCCTGATGGACTGCTTGGACGCTTGTTCAAGGATATACACAAAGCCTTTCCAGTCTGAGTACCATTATGTCTTACCAAGTCTTTCATTTATGTCTGAGAAAAGCTTTTATGTTTAAATATGTGTATCAGTCATGCTAAAGAGTCATTACTTTGAGTCCTGATTTTCTTCATGTGTGAATAAAATGTTTTGCTTGGCTCTTTTGCATCTTACTTTGCATTTCATGTGATTTCATGTAATGTGTATTAGGTCAACGTGAATGTTATAACTCTTTCATGAATAGACATGTGTATTAAACTTTTAAAAAACGCACCCTTTCAGTAGTTATAAATGTTAGTGACTCACTAACATGTGATAATAGTGGTGATGTGTTTCATACTTTACAATAAGGCTCCCTTTTACCAATTATACATGGTTGTAAGTCATTAATAAATGGGAATGTGTTTTACACTTTACAAGGCTCCCTTTTGGCAGTTGTAAATGTTAGTAACTCATTAATAAATGACACAGCTGAAGTTCGGAGGACCTTGAGGAAAGTCAACCCCCGGAAGGCAGCAGGCCCCGACAGTATACCAGGACGGGTGCTCAGGGACTGTGCGGACCAGCTGGCCCATGTCCTCACAGACATCTTCAACACCTCGCTGGACCAGGCCATTGTTCCATCATGTTTTAAGATGGCAGCCATTGTACCTGTGCCAAAGAAATCCTCAGTGACCTGCCTGAATGATTACCGGCCTGTGGCACTCACCCCCATCATGATGAAGTGTTTTGAGAGGCTGGTAAAGAACCATATCGTCTCCATACTTCCCCCCACAAGCTATCTCCTCTGCGCTCCATGTGAGCCTGGCCCACCTGGAGGAGAAGAACACCCATGTGCGAATGCTGTTCCTGGTTTCCGGCTCAGCGTTCAACACAATCATCCCCCAGCATCTGGTAAACAAACTGGGACCCCTGGGACTCAACACACCCCTGTGTAACTGGCTGCTGGATTTCCTAATAGAGAGACCCCAGTATGTTCGGGTCGGTAACAACACCTCCAGCACCATCACCTTAAACACCGGCTCCCCGCAGGGCTGCGTTCTGAGTCCACTGCTTTTCACCCTGATGACCCACGACTGCTGCTCCAGGTTCAGTACCAACCACATCATAAAGTATGCGGACGATACAACAGTGGTGAGACTCATCAGGGACAACAACGAACAGGCCTACAGGGAGGAGGTGAAACATCTGACAGACTGGTGTAACACCAACAACCTGATCCTGAATGTCGATAAAACAAAAGAGATCATTGTCGATTTCAGGAAAAAAAAGCACTGTCACCCACCACTCCACATCAACGGCACAGCAGTGAAGACTACAGACAGCACCAAGTTCCTGGGGGTGCATATCACAAGCAGTCTGACCTGGTCCACTCACACTACATCACTATTTAAGAAGGCACAGCAGCGCCTACACTTCCTGCACAGCTCCCCCCTCCCATCCTCACCACGTTCTACAGAGGAACCATAGAGAGCGTGCTGACCGGCGGCATCTCCATCTGGTCGAGAGACTGCAACGCCAAAGACTGGAAGTCTCTGCAGAGAGTGGTTAG